AAAACAAACACTATTCTCAGATTTATCTCCCAGTTTGAACTTAGAAATTTCTTAAAGAAACATTATAACTTCCTTACTTTTAAAGGTTTCTACTTCAAACTTCAAATATATATTTCTTATCATTACACACGTTGTTTGACAAGGTCCATAACTCTAGTGTGACTATTTCCAGAATTTTTCCCCCTTTAACTTGGAATTAATGTTAACAACAATAACTTCTTGTCAAAAGAAGAAATATATTTATATCATAATTGATTTTTATTTATAGTTTTGTCTTCCTTACTTACAGTATTTAATTAGTCGAGCTTAGCTGTCTCCTGTGACAGCTCTTGTTAATTTTCATTGGAATTTGTTGGAATTTTCTTCTTTAAGTCAATTAAATTTAGCTTTTAACTAATACTGTAGATTTGGCACACCTGTCACAAGTGACATGGTGAGCTTTTGTGATCGCTTTTCGTCCCTAGCCCGTCGTGCATCCATAAACTTTCACTTTAAACGACATCTCCTCATAAACCGCTAAGCCAATTTCATCCTAACTTCACAGGAATGTTGCTTTGGTGGTCTGTGACCTTTAAAAATTGTTCAAAGAATTTAGTTCCATGCAAAACTCTGGTTGCCATGGCAACCGAAAGAGAAAACTTAAAATATCTTCTTTTAAGAAACTCCAAGAGTTAGAGCTTAGACATTCGGCATGAATCTTCTAGTAAGTGTCTTCCAAGTTTGATCAAATAAAAGCCCTGGGGTAAAAATTGGCCCCGTCCCAGGTGGTCCTTGATTTCCCTTATATGTATATAGTAAAAACTTTAAAAAATCTTCTTTTAAAAAAGTGAAATAGCTAAAGCTTAGATATTGAGCATGAAACGTCTTTTAGTGAGTATCAACCAAGTTTGTTCAAATAAAATCCCTTGCATGAAAATTGGCCCCGTCCCAAGGAGTCATTGATTTTTCTGATATGTATATAGTAAAAACTTAAAAAATCTTCTTTTAAAAAACCAAAATAGCTAGAGCTTAGATATTAAGCATAAAACATCTTCTAGTGGGTGTCTACCAAGTTAATTCAAATAAAAGCCCTGGGATAAAAATTGGCCCCGTCCCAGGGGGTCATTGATTTTCCTTATTTATATATCATATATAGTAAAAACAAAAAAAATCTTCTTTTAAAAAACCCAAATAGCCAGAGCCTAAATATTAAGCATGAAACATCTTCTAGCGGGTGTCTACCAAGTTTGTTCAAATAAAAGCCCTGGGGTAAAAATTGGCCATGCCTGAGGGTTCATTGTTCATTGTTACTTTATGTATATAGTAAAAACTTATAAAATCTTCTTTTAAAAACCTTAAAGAGCTAGAGCTAAGATATTTAGCATGAAACATCTTTTAATGGGTGTCTACCAAGTTTGTTCAAAAAAGGGCCCTGGGGTAAAAATTGACCCCTCCCAGATGGTGGTGGGGGGGGGGGGGGGCTCTTTGTTTTTCCCTATATGTATATAGTAAAAACTTAAAAAATCTTCTTATAAAAAATCCAAAGAGCTTGAGTTTAGATACTAAGCATGAAATATCTTCTAGTGAGTGTCTACCAAGTTTGTTCAAAGAAAAGCCCTTGGTTTAAAATTGGCCTTGGCCCAGGGGCCTATATACAGGTGAGTGATTTCAGGGTCATCATGGCCCTCTTGTTAAGTTATCTGAGGGGGACAGGGGCACATTAAAAGTTTTTATTTCAGATTTGCTCCGTTAATTTGCATTCTTGGATGAATATCTCTAGAGCACCAAATACATGAGTGTTGTGGTGTTTTTTTTCGGAGGATTTAGAACATTGTCAATACTAAATCCAAGCCCCACTGATCCAATGCGGCCAATCACTTCCTGCCTCTGGGCAGAAAATTTAGGACATTCGATCAGTAGGTGAAGAGAACCATATCTCACTCCACGCTGATTGCAGGCTTGGTCTATTTTTAGCTCACCTGACCACGAAGTGGTCAAGGTGAGGTATAGTGATGGGGCTATGTCCGGTGTCCGTCGTCGTGCGTCCTTCATCGTCAACAATTGGGTTGTTAACAGTCTAGCAGTCACAGTTTTGATTGGATCATTGTCAAACTCTGTCAAAAAGATTGTCAAAATGAAAGACAGATCGAGTTCGAAGATGGGCTATCTCATGTCAGAAACTAGGTCACAGGAGCTAAAAATAGAAAAAGCTTGTTAACACTCTAGTGGCTGCAGTTTTGATCCAAATATTCTGGAAATTTGTCAAGAAGGTTGTTTTCATGATTTCTAGGTCAAGTTCGAAGATGGGTCTAGGTCACAGGAGCTAAAAATAGAAAAAGCTTGTTAACACTCTAGTGGCTGCAATTTTGATCCAAATATTCTGGAAATTTGTCAGGAAGGTTGTTTTCATGATTTCTAGATCAATTTCGAAGATGGGTTATCTCCGGTCAAAAACTAGGTCACAGGAGCTAAAAATAGAAAAAGCTTGTTAACACTCTAGTTGCTGCAGTTTTGATCCCAAATATTCTGGAAATTTGTCACATAGGTTGTTTTGATGATTTGTAGTTCAAGTTCGAAGATGGGTCATCTCCGGTCAAAAACTGGGTCACAGGAGCTAAAAATAGAAAATGTTTGTTAACACTCTAGTAGCTGCAGTTTTGATTCAAATATTCTGGAAATTTGTCAGGAAGGTTGTTTTGATGATTTGTAGGTCAAGTTCGGAGATGGGTCATCTCCGGTCAAAAACTAGGTCACAGAAGCTTAAAATAGAAAAATCTTTTTAACACTCTAGTGGCTGCAGTTTTGATCAAATATCCTGGAAATTTGTCAGGAAGGTTGTTTTGATGATTTCTAGGTCAAGTTTGAATATGGGTTGTCTCCAGTCAAAAATTAGGTCCATTGCCCAAATATGGAAAACCTTTTTAACACTCTAGAGGTCACATGTTTGACTCAATTGTCATCAAACTTGGCCAGGATGCTTGTCTAAGACATTGCTTGGATGCGGTTGATGGGTCAGGGGAGTGATCCAGGGTCATCATGGCCCTCTTGTTTTAATGTACTGACCCAGACTGCCGGTAAGAGATACTGTGGCTCCAAAATTTCCTTATTTTAAAACTTATCTTCGTTTCTGGTACAACTTATGATTGGTCCAGTAATCAAGACTGTCACAAAGATGAAGAGTGGGAGGTGCCATTTGAACTGAGTATTCTCTCAGCTTTAGTGTTTTTGTAGTAATTTTGTTAATACTTATCAAGGTGATAACCTATCAACTTATTAAAAGCCAACAAATTTTCACAATGACAAACATCCTATACAGAACAAAAGGTGCTTATGGAAGCCATTTGCCAAAAATAACAATTGCAAATGTTTAGAATAAAGAAATTTGTGATTAAAAACAACCAAATAACAATTTGGAACAAAGTTTCAAATAGAAAAATAAATCTGTAAAATTTTGATATTAGTTTTAAATATTTAAGTTAAGAATTCAACAAAATTTATTTTTAAAACATTTTACCTATTTACTTTTTATGATTATTAATTATGATGTATTACAAAATTTTATATAAGAAACACCATAATGCTTAGAATAAAAAATGGTTTGTGGATGATAAATAATTCATTATAACAATTGAAATTTTGGCTGCATGCAGGGGCATTTGTGATGTGAAGACACATTTCTTAAGTTTCATATTCTAAGCCTCTAACTATAACAAAAATAAATACCATTTATTAAGTATTAGAATAAATTAACTTTTATTCATATCAAATATAAATAAAGAAAACAACATACACATTTTAACTGATTTATTAGTTATTTTGATAGCATCAAAGAACTTCAGTCAGATAACAATTTACCATTTGTAACACAGCTTTAATTGAAGTTCATAAAATTAACTGCACAATACCTAGGTACATACAGAACATTTCTATACAGATAAAGGTATGTTCTTAACAATTATTTAAGGGAGTTTTTCTCGGAACAAGTGGCAATGTTCATGTTTACAGATCTTCTTTGGTGCAGTTAAAGTTTTTTTCAGAAAACTTTGAAAGCACACATCTCTTTTGGATAATTTAGTTGAAATTGATATCAAGCAGTTATTGTTGCTTAAAATTCACTGTACATTTCTTTTTGTTAAACACATCCAAATTAACAATGTATCAATTTAGTACTGATGATATTATCATTATGTTATTTATGAATAAATGAAGCGGGAAAAAAGTTTGCTACTGAGATTCCTGGCTGAGCGAAGCCTAAAGCAGATTTGAGAGAGATTTTCGTGGGAGCATATAGTCGTTGGGTCGTCCGTCCGTCCGTACGGAATTCATGTCCGGCTCATTACTTTGTTATTTGAAGTCGGATTTTAAAACTATTTCATAGAAATGATCACAGTATTGAGACGACGTGTTGCGCGCAACATTTGGGTCACAGCATGACCATCCAGCAAAATCGTGTCCGACCCATAACTTTGTTATTTGAAGTCGGATTTTAAAACTATTTCACAGAAATGATCACAATATTGAGACGACGTGTCGCGCGCAACTTTTGGGTCACAGCATGACCTTACAGCAAAATCGTGTCTGGCCCATAAATTCGTTACTTGAAGTCGGATATAACAACTATTTCTCAGAGATGATCACCATATTAAATCGACGTGTCACATGCAACATTTGGGTCGCTACCTTGAAGGTCACGGTCACAGCATGACCTAGCAGCAAAATCATGTCTGGCCCATAACTTCGTTATTTGAAGTCGGATTTTACAACTATTTCACAGAAATGATCACCATATTGAGACAATGTTTTGTGCACAACATTTGGGTTGTTTTTACACTTTGAACTTTGTCTGTGACATAACTCTGACACTACAAGAGGTATAACTTCCTGTGTCCAAAACCTTTTCGGGGAGCATCACCCAGTTCAACTGGCTCTTGTTACTGCTTAGACAATATAACCTACTGTTTACCTTGACATATAGTCAACATATTGATAGTCTGTTAAAGAAAAGTTTCAACTTTTTTCAGGACCTGGTAAACACAAGAGAATGCTGTGAGGAGATAAAGGAAAGTAAAAAATTCCATGGAATCCTCGAACTTATATTGCTTGTTGGAAACTTTTTAAACACAGGGTCCAGAAATGAACAATCTCTGGGATTTGATATCAACTTCTTATCAAAGGTTTGTTTAAATGTCTTAATTATGGAGAAATATTTTATTCACTAGAATCTTCTGTCTTTCATGGCAGTTTATATGCTTGTCTTGACCTTGATGATGTATGGCCTTATTGAGTTAAGTCAACATTAAATCTGACTAGTTCATTGATTGTTTGAGATGTCGAGGATCAATACAGCATTTACATGATTCTCTCAGTGCTAACTTAATCCAATATCTGTCTGAACTTGTCTCAAACAATTATTTTGTTTACAAGTTTATGCAGTGTAACAAATAAAAAAAAAATCAATATAAATAAATATTTATAAACTTTTTAATCCTTACTCAGATGATTTTGTTTAATGGACTTGCTGTGCATTGTGTGATATAAGAATTGATTTTTTGTGAGTTGAATGAATCACTATATTAGAGCCAAGATACAGTCTGGTTAAACTGTGTGGATATGCAGAGTAGCCTAGCTCTATAATGATAGCAATGTACCATCTATAAATTCTTTATAATTACCCTGAATTTTCTGTTTTAGTTACTCGGTCATTGATGCTCATGTCATTAGACCAGATATCAGTAAACAATCATGTCCTCAGTTAATCAGTCTACAATTTCTAAGATATTGATTAATTCATTGATTATCTTTTTATGTCTTAAGTTAATTAAAGAAAATTGCTTCAGAATTCGTATTTTAGTGTAAGATAATGAAAATAAAACAAATTTTGTTACTTTATTCTAGTGGGAGGTAGTAAAAACCAGTTTATTTCTGAGTGATTTGATATTTTGTGTTTGAATTATTCATGAGCACTTAAAAGACAGTTAATTCTGTAGAAATGCTTTTAGTAAGATAGTATAGTTAAGTGAGAAATAAAAATGTTATTGCGAAATCATTTGATTTTCGTGAATTAAAGTTTGCTTTTAAAGAAGATAAGGTTACTAGGTTAATAAATTATTCATTTTGTACAGCTTTTGATTTGAAACATTTTTTAGTGAGATAAAATTGCTGTATGTTCACTCTGCAATTACAGTAAAACTTGTCATATGTGACTTTCCATGGGACAATATCAAAAAGGTCACAATTATGACAGGGAGTCTTTAAATCCAGGTTCCCAAAAAAAAAAAATCATCAGTTGTTTCAAAATGCTATTTTTACTTGTTGGTTTTTTCTTTGATTGTGTTTGCTTTGTGTTACATATTATGTAATATTTAAATATGGTTTGTTGAAGATATAAGATAATTTTTATTTAAATACTTTATTATAGTTAAAATGTTTTTAAAAATAAAAATGTTTACATGCATAATTATACAAATACAATGTATTACAGATATAAAATTTTAAAAGAAGAGTTTTTAATTTTGATTTCCAGTCTTCCACAGTTTTTACATTCATATCTCCTCTTTCGCTACTCATGGTTCCATATGATATACTGTTTCTTATTTTGCAAGAGTCAAGCGAACCATTTGAGGCCTTAAATTCAATCTTTACCAGCTGTTTGGCAAATTCAATTGCTTTTGTCTGTATCATTGGACCTGTAAGGTTGATGTTTCTTCCCGTTACATCACGACACCATGCCAATGTAAGGTCGTTGACTTCTTCATTCCCTGGAAAAAGAAGGAGGAATGAATTTTCTGCTCATACATGCAAAGTTCAGACAGTTAAAAGTTTAAGTTTGGGGGGTGTAGTGTATAAACAGGCAATGTCGGCCTTTCGCTTCCGGAGTGTCTGTATCTGGGTTTTGCCGACGCCCATTTCCTCAGCAATTTTGTAGGCTGGGGTGCCGGCATCAAGCTTTTTGATTGCCTGAATTTTTTCTCCAAGACTCAGGACAATTCTTTTTTTACATGCTTTGTCAGCCATATTTGTATGATCTGAAGTGCCCGGATTTTCGTACATGTTTCTATCCGCACGTTCTATCAGTTTCTATCTGCACGTTATCAGACGGATGTAATTTACTGCTTGGTCAAGTAGATGTAATCATTATTAGTCCCCTACCGGTTTACCGGAGGGGACTTTAGGTTTACCCTCCGTCCGTCTGTCCGTCTGTCCGTCCGTCAGTCCATCCGTCCGTCCGTCCACAAAACTGGATCCCGCGATAACGCAAAAAGTACTGAAAATATTTTAATGAAACTTGATATATGGATAGATGGCAGTATGGAGATTATGCACGTCTTTTTTTTTTCTTCCTATGTTGAAAATTCTGGTTGCTATGGCAACAAATAGACTGAAAATATGACAAATTTTACACATAAACTGGATCCCGCGATAACGCAAAAAGTACTGAAAATATTTTTATGAAACTTGATATATGGATAGATGGCAGTATGGAGATTATGCACGTCTTTTTCTTTTCTTCCTATGTTGAAAATTCTGGTTGCTATGGCAACAAATAGACTGAAAATATGGCAAATTTTACACATAACCTGGATCCAGTGATAACACAAAAAGTACTGAAAATATGTTTATGAAACTTGACATATGGGTAGATGGCAGTATGGAAATTATGCACATCCTTTTCTTATCTTCCTATGTTGAAAATTCTGGTTACTATGGCAACAAATAGACTGAATTTCAAGATTTCTTATTCTAGTTTTTAAGTTTTTTCACTATAAGTTCTTTATTTCTTAAGGTATTTTCTTCAAACTTTAAATATAAGTTGCTTGTCATCAACCATATCATATGTGGCAAGGTTTACAACTCTAGTACAAAATTTATCAGAATTACCTCCCTTGAACTTAAAATTTTCATGAAAAAAACATTTTTTTTTAATAACTTCTTTTTCTGAATGTATCTACTTCAAACTTCATATAAATGTTTCTTATTGTCACTCAACATTTGCGAGTGTTCAATACTCTAGCAAGACTATTTCCAGAATTATGCCCCTTTTGAACTTAGACTTTTTTTTGAGAAATTGGTAATTTTTACTCCACAACTTCTTCAATCATGATAGGATTTTAAAAATGTTATATTTTGATAACAGGGATGTTTAAAAAATAACTTTAGAGTGTCCTTCAGTCCGTCTGTCTGTACATAAAAACTGTTTCCTGTGATAACTTTTAAAGAACTTTTTTAACAAATTTACTTAAAATAGGAACCTAAGTGAATGGCCCTTCAGAATGTTGCTTGGGCTCTTACCGGTAGGGGACTTATGGATTGCTTGCAATACTATGATAATTGCTTGTTTATTTTTAAACTTGGACAGTTATAATGACTAATAGCTTCGTAATTATCAATGAACACCTTTTGCGATGGTGATAAACATTCGAGACTATGGTGCTCAATTTTGACGGACGAATGTCAATTGAAAGCGAGAAGTGTGAAAAACATAATTCTTTAGAAAATGAAAAAGTCGTTTAATTTGGTCATAGACATGTAACGGGACGCTAAATTTAAGGTCGTTAGTCGCGTCAGACAGGGAGTCGTTTAATTCAGTGACTTTATATAGTGATTTACGTTTGGCGGTCTAAAATAAGGAAGTCGTTTAAATCAGTGAGTCGCTATGGCAAGTTTGACTGTACTTCATAGTTTGACATTACCCCCAACCAACCTTCCCTGCAACCCCCCCACCCCCCCCCCCACCCCCATTCACACACTTCCGACCAACTGGTTTGAAAATTTAGGCTAGAAGTCTGTATGTACTTCTCTAAATCTGCTTGCTCAACCGACTTAAATGATAGCATTAATGATTGGAGTATTTTGTGATAGGAGTATTATTTTGTAATTTACTTAAGATTACTTGACTGTGTATATTATAAAGATTTGGACATTGACTCATAAATAACCATTCAATTTGACTCCAATTAGTGTTAGAACACTGCTTATACTGTTTAATTATTACTGAACATAAGTAGATTAAGTCTTCAGAAAAGGTATTTTGACCAAAAGAAATGGTGAATTGTCCATACTTAACATCACCTTATGCTATTCTGTGACTGACTGAATTAACACTTATGACTTTAAAAAAAAAAGATAGATAAACTGCCGATTATTTTGAGATTTTGTCTTTTTCTTTTGAGTTATTATAATATTTGCAAAATGTAAAAATCAGTAAACTAGGTTAAGATATGCCACTTTGTAAGTTTTAGAATTAATTTGCTTGATGATCTCAATGACCCACCTTGCCTCGAATGCTGTCACAGAAAGCAATCTAGAAATTATGGCATGTATGTTTAGACTAACCAGCACATAGGATAAAACTGTGGAGTGGAGCAACTCGGAAAATGTACGTTTGCCCCCCTTATATATCATTTTTATGCCAAACATGGTGTATGGGTAGCTTATATCAAGACACAACTTGGGATTTCAACCCATGTGTCTGTGAACAAGGTCAAGGTTACTTTGCCTAAAAAAAGAAATTCAGTTTTCACGTGTATTAACTTGAGATTGCTTTGACCTATTGACACCAAACTTGATGTGTGGGCAGCTTAATTATTAAGATGCAGCTTGGGATTGCTACTTACTGGGAGCAAGGTCAAGGACTTTTGCTTTCAATAGAACTAAATAACTTCGGTACACTTTGACCTATTGATACTTGGCATGTGTGTAGCTTACATGAAAATACAGCCTGGTATTGCATCTCAGATATTTTGAACTATTGAAACCAACTTTCTGTGTAGCATGAGTTTTACTTTACTGCCGTATCTCATTCCCTAATTCCTGTCACATCAATACTTGGTTGTTGAGAACCTGGTTTTTGTCGAATTGAGGCGCTTCTTGTTTCTTAATGTATCTACTTCAAACTTCATACATATGTTTCTTATTATCACTCAAATCATTTGTGAGAGTCACTTAATTAAATCATTTGTAAGAAGGTTCAATACCCTAGCTTGACTATTTCTAGAGTTATGTCCCCCTTAAACTTATTTTTTTTCTAGAAATTATTTTTTACTCAGAGTTCTTCATTTCTTATAGCATTTACTTCAAACTCCCACATTATAATAATCTGACAAGGGTTATAAATCAAGTGTCCATATTTCCAGATTTTATGATCTCCTCCTTAAACTGAAGTTTTCTAATTTGTTCTTTAAATTTCTTATTTCTTCATGGATTTACTTGAAATTTAAAATATATATTCATTATCAAACCTTTATCATATATGTTTAGATTTATAAGACATGGGTTTCCATGATCATTCTTTTCATTTTGAATTGAAATTTATTTGAAAACTACTCTTTTTTTTTCTTCTTTTTTTTTTTTTAATTTTCTTCTTTGTTACTACATGAATAAATGGTGTATTTGAAAATTTTATTTTACACTTTTCATCATGTATGACAATGTTCATAAGTCTAGCATATTTATTTCAAAAATAATAACCTCTTTATTTTAAGAATTTTGCTTTTAAAAATGTTATATTCTGGTAACAACCAGGGATGTTTAAAGATTTACCCTCAGACTGTCTGTCTGTCTGTCCATTCCTGAAAACTGTTTCCTGAGACCACTTTTAAAGAAATTGGCACTTTTCCAACAAATTTACTTTTAATAGAGAAAAGTTGAAACATTATTTATACATATTCATCCTGAGAAAATTGGATCTTTTAATTATCTGTTAACATAATTTCCTTACTAGGCAGGGAAACTTAACACATAACTATGATACAGACAAACTAAGAACTCAAAAGAGTTAAGTTAATTCATGTCATTCATTCATTCATTCATTCATCCATCCATCTATACATTTAATCATTCATTCATTCAATGGCATAATTGAATGGCCAATGGCCTATCAGAATGTTGCTGGGGTTCTAAAAGGTAGGGGACTAAAAATATGGATTGCTTGTTGATAAATATGATAGTATATGTGCTGGCATTGAACAATGAACATTTTATTTGGATTTTAAGGCATTTGGAGATCCACATCCTAAGTGTCTGTAGTACAATTGACAGTGTTTCAAAAGTCATCTAAAACATTCCATTATTATAAAGCTAAAATATTTAGCATGAAACATTTTTTTATTGGTGTTTACCAAGTTTGTTAAAATTATAGCTTTTGGGTCAAAATCTGTCACAAAACATTAACTCTCACTATAAAATGAATGTCCTTTCACTTCCAATCTCTCAACACTCCTTGATGAGCACTACTTTCTAGACCGATTTGAAGGTCCGGGCACCAACCTAGGGGCATTAACTGGAATGTAGCATTTGTTAATTTAAAGATTTATCAAAAAGAAACAGTTATAAGATCTTAAGTAAGACTGTTCAGGTCAAGATCAGGATTATATTAATACTGATTGTGCATGCCTTGGTACACATTTATTATGATATAACGTCTTTTTGTACACATCTTCCCAACTTGTTAAAATGTTGAGCCAAAGAGGCGAGCTGTTGTGAGTAATAATATCAGTTGTTGGTCAATTTGGTTTGTCCTCAATTTTTTTGGACCAAGTCCTTAGATGGCTGTCTACAAAAGTTAAAGTGGTTCATAAGTAGGTCATAACTGACATTAGAACTAAAAAAGGCATCAAATATAAAAAATTTAATTGTTTTAATGCCTAGAGCATGTAGCATAACCTTTTGGTCCTCATGGATCTTATGGAAATTATGCCTCGGGAACCAAAATTGGGCTCACCATGGGGTCACTTAGTTTATAAAGATTTGTAAAGTAAAACACTATGAAGAACTTGGCATGTAGCATTTCCTAATAAATGTCTGCAAATATTTTATAAATCATGCAGTTGAAGTATAAAATGAAACACCAAATGTGAATTAATTGCTTACTTCTGCATTTTAGAATTGTGACTTTTTTTAGCAATGAATTTCAGGTGAGTGATCCAGGGCCATCACAGCTCTCTTGTTTTATAGATTCATAATCTTCTCAAAAACCTTCACAGATATTCACTTCGAATTTGAAAAAAGGCCAAAATTCTTGCCAAACAGTTTATCAGAATTATGTCCCCTTTTCTACTTTACTATCATCACACTATCATACTACAGAGAATAGTAGAGTTTGCTGCTCCTGGGACAGCTCTTGTACAGTTTCCTACAATGTCTATTGGAGGAGGGGTGGGGGGAGTAAATTTCTTAAATGCTTGTATTAACACTGTACACAGTGCAAAATTGTTACCTCTGTCTTTTTAAAACTTCAATACATTGAAAGTAATACTGGAAAATACAAATATACCACTGAAAATATTTGTGGCTTGAATTGAACAAAAATAAAGACACACCTTTTAGTGTTTAAATTGATCCAAGTTGCATTTATGTACACATAGTTATAACCTAAAAAATAATAAGTACAATATTTGTTGTCTGTTATTTGGCCTGGAATATGAAAATTGTGCATAAAATCTAAAGACATACATACAGAATGCCAGACAGTTGTTATAAAACATAAACTTCTCAACCATTTTTATGTCTCTCACAAGTCAGGATTTAATTTTTACTTATATTGCAGCTTGGGAACACTAAAGCTCAAGACGGGAAGACAACATTATTGCATTTTATTGCCAATGTGTGTGAGACGAAGTACCCAGATCTTCTAAACTTCCATGAGGAGCTGTCACATCTAGATAAAGCTGCCAGAGGTATCTTATACTGTCTTGAATTTATGTCATGACATATATATCAGTTGTTGTTGTAAAATAACTTTAGATATCTTTTAAATGCACATTGTTTGCTGACCATATTTTGTATTATTTACTCTATTTACTGACTTTGTTTTTATAAATTGATTTTTTTGGCAAATTTGTATAAGTAAATACATGTGATAATTGAATCACACACTGTTTTTTGGATGGAGGAAGTTTATCTTGTGATTGACTTTGAACCACTTGCCTCTCATCATTGTGGGTTGGATTCTCACTAGGTTTAGATTCATTCATGTGAGGATGCTTTCCAATTACCTAATGGAACATTGGTGGAGCTCATAAACAGAGGGGCACCAAAGGTCCTTTTCCACCAGTAAAGCTGGAAAGTCACCATATGACCTTTTATTGGTGTTTAGGTCACTTAGTTCAAATAGACTTACATAAAAGAAACATTCAAAGCTTCTCTTATGAAATTACAATGCCTAGAGCTTCGGTTTTTGGGATGTAGTATTCCCTAACAGACATGTACAAATGTTTTAAAAATAATACAGCTTGGGTTCAAAAATGATGACCTAATATAACCTTTAAAACTTGTTACCTATTCTAGCAATGTATTTCAAGTGAGTGATCTAGGCCATCATAATAATAATTTCTTGGTTAATCTTTTTTAGCTCACCTGTCTGAAAGTGACATGGTGAGCTTTTGTGATTACCTTTCGTCCGGCCGGCCGTCAGTCTGTCCGTCGTAAACTTTTACTTTAAACGACATCTCCTCATAAACCGCAAAGCCAAATTCATCATAACTTCACAAGAATGTTCCTATGGTAGCCAACTTAAAAAATTGTTCAAAAAATTTAATTCCATGCAAAACTTAAAAAAGCCTAAGAGCTAGAGCTTAAATATTTGGCATGAAACATCATCTAGTCAGTGTCTACCAAGTTTGTTCAAATAAAAGCCCTGGGGTTCAAAATTGGCACCGCCCCAGGGGTCATTGATTTTCCTTATTTGTACATATAGTAAAAACTTTAAAAAACCCAAATAGCTAGAGCTTAGATATTAAGCATGAAACATCTTCAATTGGGTGTCTACCAGGTTTGTTCAAGTAAAAGCCCTGGGGTCAAAATTGACACTGCCCCAGGGGGTCATTAATTGTTTTTCCCTTTATGTTTATAGTAAAAACTTATGAAATCTTCTTTTAAAAAAACCTAAGCTCTAGAGCTTAAATATTAAGCATGAAACATCGTCTAGTCATTGCTTACCAACATTGTTCAAATAAAAGCCCTGGGGGTCAAAATTGGCTCTGCCCCTGGGCTCATTGATTTTTCTTATTTGTATATAGTAAAAACTTAAAAAATCTTCTTTTAAATAACCCAAATAGCTAGAGCTTGAATATTTAGAATGAAACATCTTCTAATGGGTGTCTACCAAGTTTGTTCAAATAAGGGCCCTGGGGTTAAAATTGGCCCACCCCGGGGTCATTGATTTTCCTTATATGTGTATAGTAAAACTTAAAATTTTCTTATAAAAAATCCAAAGAGCTAGAGTTTAGATAGTAAGCATGAAATATCTTCTAGTGAGTGTCTACCAAGTTTATTCAAATAAAAGCCGCTGGGTTAAAATTGGCCTCGCCCCGTGGGCCTATATACAGGTGAGCGGTTTCAGGGCCATCATGGGGCTCTTGTGTTTAAAGTATCAAAGTTATTCACTTTAAACTTTGAATACTTGTTCACTATCAAATGCATTTCTCAGAAATTTCTGAAAGCCATTTTTGCTTTATTATTTCTCTTGTTAGCTCACCAGAGCCGAAGGCTCAGGGTGAGCTATTGGTATCAAAGGGGGATGCTCCATCGTCCATCGTCATCATCAACAATCGTCTTCTTCTCTGAAACAACTGGGCAGATTTACTTCAAATTTGGTCTGTAGCATCCTTGTGACAGTCACACTTGAATTTGCTCATGTCATTTCAAATGGCCCCTTGTAGGGGTCAGCAGAGCTAAAAATAGAAAAACCTTTAAACATCTTCTTCTACAGAACTAATTGATGGATGATCACCAAACTTTGTCTGTAGCATTCTTGGGTAGTCTTTTATCAAGTTTGCTCATATTAATTTGAGTGTCCCCTTTTAGGGGCCGCTAAAGCTAAAAATCGAAAAACCTTTAAACATCTTCTTCTACAGAACTAATGGATGGATGATCACCAAACTTTGTCTGTAGCATTCTTGGGTACTGTTTTATCAAGTTTGCTCATATTAATTTGATTGGCCCCTTTTAAAGCTAAAAATAGAAATACCGTTAAATGTCTATTTCTAGAGAACTAATTGATGGATGATCACCAAACTTTGTCTGTAGCATTGTTGGGTAGTCTTTTATCAAGTTTGCTAATATTATTTTGATTGGCCCCTTTTAGGGGTCTCTTGGGGTAAAAATAGAAAAACCTTTAACATTTTCTCCTACAGAACTAATTGATGGATGATCACCAAATTTTGTTGACAGCATTCTCGGGTAGTGTTTTATCAAGTTTGCTCATTTTAATTTGATTGGCCCCTTTTAGGGGCCACTAAAGCTAAAAATAGAAATACCATTAAATGTCTATTTCTAGAGACCTAATTGATGGATGATCACCAAACTTTGTCTGTAGCATTCTTGGGTAATCTTTTATCAAGTTTGCTCACATTAATTTGATTGGCCCTTTTTAGGGGCCGCTTAAGCTAAAAATAGAAAAACCTTTAAACATCTCCTACTTCAGAACCAATTGATGGATGCATTCTTGGGTACTCTTTTATCAAGTTTGCTTATATTAATTTGATTAGCCCCTTTTAGGGGCCATTAAAGCTTAAAATAGAAAAAACCTTCGAACATCATTTCCTACTGAAATAATTAATAGATGATCACCAAACTTTGTAGCATTCTTAGGTAGACTTTTATCAAGTTTGCTCATATTAATTTGATTAGCCCGGTTTAAGCTAAAGCTTTAATGCCCCAGGTCATGGCATTTCTTCAAATTATTGTTTAAACATATTCTATGCTCATGTTTAATATGAGAATATATTGACATTCCAACACTGAAAAGCAGTTGTTTCAAATTTCAAACTTAAAATACAATTTCTAAGTTGACTGGTAGGTTTACTAAGCTTTTTTTGCAGAATTGTTCCCCCTTTTCTATGTTGCTGTTTAATTAACTATCAAGCATCAAGAAAAGTAGGGTGTGCTGTCTGCAGCCAGCTGATCTACTTGCAATATTGACATGATTTTATTCATTAATGCCATAAGTGTATGCCAATGTTTCCTTTCATTAAGTCATGCTATATCATAGTTGTAGTGTTTATAACTGATTATTATTATGCCCCCATTTTGAAAAAAAGGGGGTATATTGCTTTGCACTTGTCGGTCCGTCGGTCCGTCGGTCCGTAGACCAAATGGTTTCCGAGTGATAACTAAAGAACCCTTAGGCCTAGGAACTTCAAACTTGGTATGGTGATTGGTCATGACCAGTAGATGACCCCTATTGATTTTGGGGTCAAGGGGTCAAAGGTCAAGGTCACATTGACCTTGAAAGCAAAAACGGTTTCCGATCAATAACTAAAGAACCCTTAGGCCTAGGAACTTCAAACTTGGTATGGTGATTGGTCATGACCAGTAGATGACCCCTATTGATTTTGGGGTCAAGGGGTCAAAGGTCAAGGTCACATTGACCTTGAAAGCAAAACGGTTTCCGATCAATAACTAAAGAACCTTAAGGCCTAGGAACTTCAAACTTGGTATGGTGATTGGTCATGACCAGTAGATGACCCCTATTGATTTTGGGTCAAGGGGTCAAAGGTCAAGGTCACATTGACCTTGTAGGTAAAAACGGTTTCCGATCAATACCTAAAGAAACTTAAGGCTTAGGAACATCAAACTTGGTATGGTGATTGGTCATGATCAGTAGATGACCCCTATTGATTTTGGGGTCAAGGGGTCAAAGGTCAAGGTCACATTGACCTTGTAGGTAAAAACGGTTTCCGATCAATAACTAAAGAACCTTAAGGCCTAGGAACTTCAAACTTGGGTATGGTGATTGGTCATGATCAGTAGATGACCCATATAGATTTTGGGGTCAAGGGGTCAAAGGTCAAGGTCACATTGACCTTTTAATTAAAAACGGTTTCTGATCAATAACAAAAAAACCCTTAGGCCTAGGAACTTCAAACTTGGTATGGTGATTGGTTATGACCAATCAGATGACCCCTATTGATTTTGGCGTTAAGGGGTCAAAGGTCAAGGTCACATTGACCTTGTAGGTAAAAACGGTTTCCGATCAATAATGAAAGAACCCTTAGGCCTAGGGACTTCAAACTTGAGATGGTGATTGGTCATGATCAGTAGATGACCCCTATTGATTTTGGGGTCTAGGGGTCAAAGGTCAAGGTCACATTGACCTCTTAGGTAAAAACGGTTTCCGATCAATAACTAAAGAACCCTTAGGCCTAGGAACTTCAAACTTGGTATGGTGATTGGTCATGACCAGCAGATGACCCCTATTGATTTTGGGTTAAGGGGTTAAAGGGCAAGGTCACATTGACCTTGTAGGTAAAAATGCTTTCCGATCAATAACTTAAGAACCCTTATTGCTAGGAACTTCAAACTTGGTATGGTGATTGGTCATGACCAGCAGATGACCTATTGATTTTGGGGTCAAGGGGTCAAAGGTCAAGGTCACATTGACCTTGTAGGTAAAAACGGTTTCCGATCAATTAACAAAAAACGCTTAGGCCTAGGAACTTCAAACTTTGTGTGATGATTGGTCATGACCAGCAGATGACCCCTATTGAGTTTTAGGTGAAGGGGTCAAAGGTCAAGGTCACATTGACCTTTTAAGTAAAAACGGTTTCTGATCAATATCTCAAGAACGCTTAGGCCTAGGAACTTCAAACTTGGTATGGTGATTTGTCATGACCAGCAGATTACTCCTATTGATTTTGGGATCAAGGGGTCAAAGGTCAAGGTCACAATGACCTTGTAAGTAAAAACGGTTTCTGATCAATAACTAAAGAACGCTTCGGCCTAGAAACTTCAAACTTGGCATGGTGATTGGTCATGACCAGCAGATGACCCCTATTGATTTTGGGGTCAAAGGTCAAGGTCACATTGACCTTGTATGTTAAAACGGTTTCCGATCAATAATAAGAGAACCCTTAGGCCTAAGAACTTCAAACTTGGCATGGTGATTGGTCATGACCAGCAGATGACCCCTATTGATTTTGGGGTCAAGGGGTCAAAGGTCAAGGTCACATTGACCTTGTAGGTAAAAACGGTTTCTGATCAATTTACTAAAAACGCCTAGGCCTAGGAACTTCAAACTTTGTATGATGATTGGTCGTGACCAGCAGATGACCCCTATTGAGTTTTGGGTCAAGGGGTCAAAGGTCATGGTCATGACCAGTAGATACTTTATAACCCTTATTAATTGTTTGATCACTGGGTCAGAAGTCATGCATAATAACCTTATCACATGACTAATTGGCTGCTGATAGGGGGCATACATGTTTTACAAACATATCTTGTTTTTTTCAGTGTCTGATGAAAACATGAAAAAGAACATAAAAGCCATGGAGAAACAGTTTAAGGCTCTGGAAACAGACCTCAAGTCAATCAAGAAATCAGTTGGTGACAAGGACAAGTTCTCAGATGTTATGAATATATCCTTTTTGTAAATCAGGACAGATATAGATAAACCAGACCCTTTTATTACTTGTTTCAGTTGTTTTCATATCCCGTAGACTAACAATTTATAATTACTTCTAACATTTACGAAAGATAATATTACAGTAACTTTATGATGTACAGGTCAGTATCATATTAAGGGTCACCTAAAAGTAGCTTTAAAAGTTTTCTTATTTTGCTTTTGCTTTAATAGGAAACAAGAAGTTTTTTTTAAAGATATTCAGACAAAGTAAAGCTGCTTTTATTATACATAGGTTGTTTCACAGTTTTGTCATAGCATCTTATGTTTAGATCTGGGGAACACTTCAGGATATGTTTCTAAATGAAACTGTCGTGTTTTGGTAAGTGTTTTGGTACACTCAACCTATGCATATACACATGATATATACTAAATATGCAAAGTAGGGATGGCAACGAGTACCAGACGAATATCGGTTAACAAAATTGATATTTATTTACTGAGAAAAATATATAATTTCTATTATTTTTTTTGCGATTTAGAAAGATGAGTGTATCCAATTAGTTCAGAAATTCGGAGATGTACATGTATCTTCATAAATACCTGTTAAATGCAACCAAAACATCCTTGCAAAGGTGCGAAAATGATATCATAAATTTAACAAGGCGATCAACAGTTTGACACGTGCATGGGATCAAACACCTTACTCACTTACCTCATTTGGCTTCTTATGATATTTCATTACCTTAAATTGTGCATGAATTAAAATGTAAAATATAATGTTGTCTAATTAATTTTCAATTAATTTGTTTATTGGTTATTCTACCTTACAGTCCTATTTATAGTTACAAATTCCTAGAAAACGAAAAAAGCATGCAGTATTAATATTGTGTGATAAAACTTTGAAGATCATTAGAAATCATCCGAGTAACAGAGTACTAGATCGGAAAAATGACCGAGTACTCAAGTTTTACTTTTGGTATTTGTTGCCATCTCTAATGCAAAGATATAGGGAAACTTTTAAATCAATTGAAAACATTAATAATATTATCATGAACACTGAGAGTATCCAATATATTTTGGAGTTTTGATATTTGGTGTCTTTTGGTATATGTAAGGATCGTGAGCGTTATTGGTAGTCTCAATATATTGGACAAACTTACAAAAAGTCATTTTTAACTGTAAATTCTTATGATGAATAAGCTATTCACTAGAAAGTTAATGAAATTTCAAAAGCAATGTAAAATGTTTAATGGGAAAAAATATTTCACAGATCTCAACTATCAGAAAAATTTAAACTAGAAAGTTTGTTTCTGATTCTCCTTTATATTATTATACCTCACAAACAAAGTTTACAGGGGTATATAAGGAGTCAGCTTGTCAGTTTGTTGGTCAGTCCACTTCATTGTTTACGGACAATAACTAGAGGTATTGTAATCCAACTTAGTATATAGCAACCTTATGTGGAAACCCCTTTTGGACCTGCTGGGGTCAAGACTAATTATCTCATTTCAGGTAATACACAAGATACCCTTATAATGGCTATTATAATGCTATTGATTAAGTTGTACATGTATTTTATTGAGGTAATATAGAAAACCTAAAAATAATTCTTAAGTACAGTAAACAATTTATTGGACACCAAAAATTATTTTCTTGAAAACAAAGAGTACATTCTAACGTGAAATAATTTCTGTTTAATTACAGTAATTGAGAAGTTAAGAGAAGTTTTCTTATTCAATAAGTAGTATAACAAGTAATTTTCTTGATATATTTGCATGGAAAATAATTACAGTGTAACTTAAAACCAGCTTTCTTTGTGACGAGACAATTTAATTAGGACCTTATTTTCTTTTACACCAGACTGAAATTATTGACTTCATGTTAAAAGTGAGACAAATGTAACAAGTAAATAATAATTAAATATGAATGTGTCTACTTGCATTTGAGCCAGTATGTATTTTAAGTGTACAGGATGTTTTTCATTGGCATACTTGATAAATATAAAGGAGTTATTTACTGCTCCCAGAAGGTAGGGGTGGGGCATTATTGTTGCTGAAAGTAATTAGTAATATCAAAGAACCATCACTCTATATTACTCAGTTTTTAGCTCACCTGGCACAGATTGGCCCCACCCCAGGGGGTCATTGATTTTATCATATGTAGATAGTAAAAACAAAAATAAATCTTCTTTTAAAATACCCAAAGAGATAGAGATTAGATATTTAACATGAATCATCTTCTAGTGGGTGCCTACCAAGTTTGTTCATATAAAATCCCTGGGGACATGTATGTTACTAGACTTATCTTTACAGAAAGCTGTAACAGATAGATAAGCTGCAAGGAGCTCTAGATAATTTATATGATGATCTGCCTCTGTGGTGGTCCATCTACCACCTATTTTTTGTTTCGCACATATTCCAGCTAATCCAGCCAATCCTAAGGATGAGGCATAATGACTAAATTTGCATTACCATGATCAATAACCCTTTCTTGGGAACACAAATTATCTATCCACCATTTCAGTTCACTTTTCATTTCATCTGTTACATGCATTTTACAAGAATAATCACCTTTCGAAAGTTTTAATGCATGAATTTTCTATTTTTCTGTAAAAGAGTTGACCATACTCAACAGCTGAAAAGCTTGAGACTATCAGGCCTAGAATTCTAGCTACAATTTGAATTGAAACTTGATATTTTCTGTATAGATCTTTGCATTCTTGCAATAGTGTTAACACTTTTGTTTCTGGAAGGGTTACAACCATTTTTATGCCACCGCAGCATCTGCGATGCAGTGGCATATAGCGATTCACCTGTGTGTGTATGTATGTATGTGTGTTATATAGATTATATAGTGAACTTAAAAAAATCCTCTTGTGAAAAACTACTAGTCCAATTTCAACCAAACTTGGCAGGATTGATCCTTGGGGAAAGGGCTTCCAAAGTTGTTCAAAGAATTTCATACCATGCAGAAATCTGGGTACCATGGTAACCAAAAGGAATTTTAAGAATAAATTTTGAAAATCTTCTTGTAAAGACCCAAAAGGCCTAGAGCTTAGATATTTTGCATAAGGCATTGTCTGGTAGACCTCTTCCAAGATTGTTCAAATTATAGCCCTGGGGTCAAAATTGGTCCCGCCCAGGGGGTCATTGACTTTCACTATATGTACATATAGTAAAAACTTAAAATACCTTCTTGTTTTGAGGTACAGATTGATTTTCACTATGTACATATAGTAAAAGATTATCTTACTGTCTGAAGGTACAAGGCTTAGAGCTTTGATATTGGTATATAATATCATCTATGGGTCCTCTACCAAAGTTGTTTAAATTATGCCCCTAGTGTTAAAATTGCCCTGCCCCAGAGGCGATAGTTTTTCTTATATCATATGTATAAAGTAAAAACTTGAAAAATCTTTTTCTCTGAATTGACAAAGGCTGGAGGTTGAATATTTGGCATGAGACATTGGGTAGTGAACCTCTACCATATGAACAGCTGATTGACAAAAATAGATTCTCAAACCCAAACACTTGGGCTTATATATGTGTTACCAAATAAATTGCAAACAAATTGAAATTTCAAATTATTTAAGCAACCTTGTTGCCTAAAATTTAAATACATTGTATATAAAAAGAATAAGCACGCTTGTTAAGACTTAGAGACTATAAAAGTTTACTGCACTTTCACAAAAAATTTCTACAGCACCTGTAGATAAAAAGAATCATCTGCACAAAACAAATCTTCAAGCGCACCAAATAATCACGGTCATGGTTTGCGCGCATCTCATGAGCACGAGAGTAGTGTATGACGTAATAGAATTTTGTAGTTTATTTTCCACCTTCGTTCATCTATGATATGACTGACATTTGATTTTGCTCTTGATATTGATTGGGCAATACTGTATTTCTAGAAACTAATTCGAGCTTATTAAATTAGCGCTTTTCGCGTTGAATACATTTCAGCGAATGTTTGTATCCGCGAAAAAGTTGCATGTAACAAATCTGCGAAAATTTGTAGCTTAGAATTTCGACAGCGCACATCATTCATATTAAGGGCAACATACAAGTTCAAAATGTTCTTTAACTCAAACTTGCCACTTAGGCAAGAAAATACAGCAGTTCACACACATTTAGAAAAGGCACTAGCTTGCATAAGAGATCAACAGAAGCATGTTATAGGACTCTTTAGGAACCTTAACAATAGTAAAACAATATATGCTATCATTCCTTATATCATATTGTACATTTCATTCTGCAACTTTTATATGTTGATATAAACATTTTTAGTTTATTTTTATTCAAAATGTAGGAGTATGGCAAAAAAGTAGGAAAGTAGGCAAAAGTAGGACTAATTTCAAGCCTGTATAATAAAAGTGCCACAATGGCTTTTAAATTTGGTCATGATTTGATGATTTTTGGCAGAGTTATGCCCCTTTTACTTTGAAAAAAAAAAGAAATTTTCAGTTTCTGTTCAGTATCTACCACACAATTGTACACATTCAACTCAAATTAAAAATATGTATATGCCATAGGTAGATAAATGTGTAGGTCAAGTTCAAATTTTGTCATGGTTCCTTGATTTTTAACATAAAAAAGTAAGATATTTCCAGTTTCCAATCATTATCTCCCTTACAGCTGTACACATTCAACTCAAATTTGACATATGGATACATCTAAGGAATGTGCAGGTAAAGTTGGAATTTGGTCATGGTTCGATGATTTTTGGCAGAGTTATGCCTCTTTGACTTTGAAAAAAAAAGGAGGAAATTTTCAGTTTCCGTTCATTATCTCCCCAACTCTTGTACATATTCAACTCAAATTTAAAATATGGATATGTCATAAGAATACACTGGTCAAGGTCGCATTTGGTCATCGTTTGATGATAACTGACAGAGTTATCCCTCTTGAACTTTGAAAAAAAAACAGAAAATTTTCGTTTCCGTTCATTATCTCCCCAATGGTTGTACACATTCAACTCAAATTTGACATATAGAGATAAGCAGTTCAAGTTTTAATTTGGTTGTGGTTCAATGATTTTGGACAAAGTTATCTCTCTTGAATGTTTGAAAAAATTTGAAATTTTCAGTTTCAGCACTCATACTTTTGTGGAAATGTATGTAGTCATTATTTTGGCTACAAATATGCAATTTGCAATTTACAAAAGGTTAACACTGAATTGTGTCAGTGCCTTGAACTTTGTATAAAAATGGTTTGTGTTTACATTGAATAGTTTAAAGGGCTTTGAACTTAGAATGAAAAAAATAGTTTGTGCAAATAAATTTGTAACTAAATATTATACATAACATTTGAAATTAAAATTTACTGCATGCGGGGGCATCCGTATTCTAGTTACTTTTAAATTTTGTCTGGACTACTCCTATTATACTACTAATTCAATTTCAATGAAACTTTACATGATTAATCAATAGTTCATGTACTTTGGCATATTGCACAGGTTTTTCGCTTGAATGAGTTATTGTCCCTGAATGAAAAAGATGTTTTGGCCTACTTAGGATTTTTGTGTTGCCAGCTACACAGAAACTACATGTGCAATTTCATCCAAACTTTACAGGAATGATACGTACCAAGTCTAGTTGTGCATATCATGTAATAGGTACCTGGTGATAGAATGAAAATACCCCACATTTACTTGTAGGGATACAGTATAAATGATTATTCCAACATTTTAATCTTTGCATTTAAATATGTTAAGAGTAAAATATATATATGAAAAAGTAGTATTTACCATGAATTTATGTATCATTTTCCCTAGAATTGCAAAGTTTAAAAATGGTACAAAAGTGACTGCTTATCTATTTGTTGCTAAATTTGTTTTCATTATTCATGTCAGTTTTCAATTTGAGGCAGGCTATTTTATGGTAAATTGCCATGTTTTTGGTTTGTAATCACCTGATGTCTGCAGTCTATTATCTGTCATTATCCACAGTTTCTGTATATAACATCTGCTTCCATTCCATACAGTAGATTTTGATGGAACTTCACAGCAATCATCTTGATGTGACCTTAAGAATTATGCAGGCGATTTAGTTCTTATGTATAAGAGGTCACAGGAGTAAAAGATATTTACATTTTCAATTTAGAAACAACAAGAGTTTTGGTATTTAGTTTGTATTTTTATAATGCAGCGGTAATCAAGTTACCAAAAAATCAAAATTCGAATAATATGTTTTTCTTTCTAATGATAAAAGCTTCATATTAAACAAACTTACTTAAACAATTATAATGAATGAAAGGACAATGTAGTTTTTATAAAAATTGAACAACTATTAAACACCAAGAGTTTGAACATTGCCTGATATTTAAATATATATAAACATTAGTTCTCATTAACACCACAAGTTATATACTTTTATGTAGTATGCCATTATATATTGTTTGTAGTGAAAAAGTTCAGTATAGAAACATGATGTTAATTTAATATATTTGAACATTGTCTAATGCAGGGTTTGAAAGCGTGTTAAGATGCTTTCCTGAAAATATGGTTTTCTCTTGCCTATTATTATTTCCTTAATTTATCACAAATTTAAAGCTAGTTATTTGATTTTAATTTTCAAATCAAGAATATTTCTGTAAAATGTGTTCATTGGACAATATTGTTCTTATTCATGCCTTGATGTTTAGATTTATTTCCTTAACTAAGGTTCACGTATTCCTTGGGTCAGCTAAAGAACAGTTTGAAGTATTAAACACAATGTATAAACAATTAGATAGCCAGTATAAAACATTAGCAAAGTACTACTGTTTTGATCTAAACAAGTACAGTGTGGAGGAATTCTTTGGAGATATCCAAAGTATTTAAAGATGGATTCTTGTAAGGTTTTTTT